ATTTGTAGGTGGAGAAATGAAAGACAAAGTTGATGTGCCACTCTATCTATTTTGAAGACGTTTCGCTTTCGTATTCTGAAAGCATCATCAGTTCATTCTAAAAAGTACAATATAAGAACCACACAATCATGGAAAAGATGTTACAGGTATTACCTTAAAAAGACATGTAGCAGTCAAAGATGTTAACAAGCTTATGAATTAAACTTGAATAAATGGACATTATAAAGTAGAAATGTATAAACATTTAATTTACTAACAACATTTAGTGATTTATTAAACAATTAGCACAGTAAGTGACCATGTGGTCCGAAGTATAAAAAATATATTAAATTATAACTTAAATGATGCAAAGAACTAAGAAAATCAACGATTAACTTCCAACTATTGATAATTATTAAGCTTTAATTTTAACTTTTGGTAGCATTATTAAAAGATGTTAATATAATTTAAAAAAAATTAGTGTAAATGAATGAAGTTACCGGTCTATGCCTTGCACCTGCTACCAGGAAAATGACATTAGATTCAACAGACTGACACAGAACCACGAAAAGACAGCCAACCTTGAGGTTGAAATTATTTCAACAGAACAGCAAGGTCAGAGGTACCACCTCAAATAATTGAGCGGTTTATTTAAATGTTAATGAGTTTTGGATGACAGCCCGCTTGTAAGAGACAATCCAATGAAAGAAACTGATATAGCAATAACAATTACTCGCATTAGCCGGTCTAAAAACAAACAAACAGGAGAATTTCATTCAAACTCTTATATTTAAATTTATGTTAAACATTGTGGCTGAAAAAATTTTGCCAACAGGTGAATAACAATTAGATAATTTCCAACAGTCTAAGCTTCAAGCACTTAGATCTGTAATTTGTAAAGGATTCTATGAATCAATTACAATGTTAATATTATTACTATACTATTAAATAGTGACTGGTTCACACTAATATGGAAAATTTTAGTGTAGAGGTAACAGTGTAATGAAAGTTGCCTATATTTAAGTAGTTGGTATAAAGAATTGAGTGTTTCAGTTTATTTTAATATTAGTTATTTATTTAATATGTTATATTGTTAATTAAAAAAAATTGTGTTCAATTATGTATATTACATGACAATTATAGTGAAAATGAAAGTAAAGCCTAGTTCTGCAATATTAGAGCATGATAAATTTGGCTCAAGTTACTTATGTCAGTTCTCTTATTTAGAGCATTAGGATGTTTAAGAATTGAACACATTTCTAAAAACTGTCTTTTAAATAGATTACGTTCAGTGCCAAGAATCTTAACTTCATTAAAATTCACTTTATGTTTAGTGCTAATAGCGTGTTGTGCGAGAGCACACGTATTTTTAGATAAATTAATATCACTACGATGAGAAGTAAGACGACCTTTTAATGATCTACCGGTCTGGCCAATGTAACACAAATCACAATCAGAGCATGGAAGGTGGTAAATTGTATTGACTTGTTCTAAAGTGGACAATGGTGTTTTAGTTTTTGAAAAAAGATTTCTAACAGTTTTTGCGTTCTTGACAGCAATTTTAACAGGAATGTTATTTTGTTTATACAGTTTAATAAGTTTCTCAGTAACTTGAGAAAAATAAGGTAGAGAAGAATAATGGATAATAGGATTCTCAAACTCAGTATCTGGCAGAACAATGCTATTAATTGAGTTATTGGAAATAGTTCTGAGTTGGTCACCATTGGGTATGTCATCAAACGAGGAACCATAGCTTTGTGTGTATAGGTATTTGTTTATGATAGATGAAGGATATGAGTTCTCTATTAGAATATTTCTTAATAACTTAAGGGATTCCCTTCGATTAATTGGATGTGTCAATTTATGTAATCTGCAGCTTAAAGCTTTTATAAGGTTTAGTTTATACTTCATAGGGTGACAGGAGTGGTAATTAAGGAACCTATTGGAGGCCATGGGTTTTCTATACCAACTTGTGGTTAGGGTGTTATCTCCCATTCTAATGACACGCATGTCTAAAAAGGCAATGCTATTGGTGATGGTGTCCTCAAGTTCAACAGTGAACTGTAAATGAGGATCAAACTCATTAAAGAAGGATAAGGTACCCTGAACCTTGTCAGGTGGTAGGGCTAATAATAAATCATCCACATACCTCTTAATAAAAGGGATTTGAACATCCAAACGACCTAAACGGTCAGAAACTAAATCATCCAATACGTAGTTGACTAGGATAGGAGAGATTGAGGAACCCATAGGTGTGCCAAAAATTTGAAGGTAATATTTGTCGTCAAAGACCAAGAAATTAGTATCGAAAACTAGTTGCAAGAGTTCTGCAAATACATCCCAGGAAACAGGACAGTTAGGTTTAATCGAATTCCAGTGATTTTTTAAGGAAGTGATAACACTGGACACAGGTAAATTGGTGAAGAGAGAAACCACATCAAAACTTACTAAAATGTAACCTGGTGGTAATTTGAAATTGTTAATAAATTCACTAAAGTTAAACGAATCAACAATATTAAAGTCATTGTTGTAATTATATGACTTTGATAGGATGTCAGTTAGAAATTTAGCAATATTGATATTAGGTGAATTAATAGAGGACACAATAGGTCTCATGCTCAGTGTAGGTTTATGTATCTTTGGCAGACAATAAAATCTAGGAGCATATCCATCATAATTATGTAAAGTTTTAGCTAAAGGTTGATCTATGATCTTAATATTTTTCAAATGTGTTATAAATTTATTTATTTTATTTGTGAATTTAGAGCAAGGGTTAGTGGAAAGTGGTTGGTAGTATCTATCATCATCTAACAGTGATTTACTCAAACTGAAATATTGATCTCTATCCATAAGGACAGTAGCATTACCTTTGTCACTCGTGAGAACGAGAAGATTAGGGTGGGTTTTTAAAAACGATACCGTCTCCCTGTAAACCTTATCTAACTCCGATAGGGGTTGCCTAGGGCGTTTAGTGAAATTTAACAAGATGTTGTTAGAAGAAGACCTAAGGGATAAAAGGTCAGAATTGTCCGCATGAGACAAAATATTCTCAACATCAGCTAGGATTCTACTAATTGAGTAGTCCTTGAAAGTTGGTTGAAGGCCAAATTTAGGACCCAAAGATAACAACTTCAGTATATCTGGAGGAACCTCAGTATTAGATAAATTTTTAATCCATTTAGGTTAGATATATATATATATATATATATATATATATATATATATATATATATATATATATATATATATATATAAAACAATTTATTGTGTTGGAATATCGGGTATGCGGTCTGTTATTATTAAAAAAAAAAACTCTTTTTTCTTTTAATCCTCTATATTTCGCTGATTTTTTGTCAGCTTCATCAGGAGACAACTAAAAATTTGAATAAAAGTTATATAAAAATTAGTTTGAATAAAAAGTGACTCACTTACAGATTTAGAGTGGAAAGTATTTAAACAAGTTGAACATAATTTGTTCAAAACAGTACTGACAGTTTTTGTTAAAAGTACCTAGGTCACTAGTAATTAAATGTAAAAATATAAAAACAGAGCAAACAAAAACAATGAAACAATTAAAACACAATAAAATTACACATTAAAAATATACAGGGTGATTTAAAATATAATTGTTAACAGAAAAATTATTTAGACATACTAAGAATATTACAGTAGATATTGCTCAACTGTCCCGTGTCTGCCTTGTAATTTACTGCATAGTTTTCTCTATTTATATGACACATTTCCAAAAACAATCTTTTTTTGTAATTATTTTCTTGCTGTAAAACCCTGACATTTGAGTAATCAAATTGATGGCCAGTTTTTAAGTGATGGTCAACTGCCGCACATGTGTTCTTCAGTTTTGTGCAGTCACTTTTGTGTTGGGTGACCCATTGTTTTAGCCATTGAGAAGTTTGGCCAACATAACAGCTCTGGCAATCCAAACAAGGCAGTTTGTAGATAACATTAGTTTTGTTTAAAGTTGGTGTCTTGTCTTTTACTGTTTTCCAAAGTAAAAGAAATGTGTCATATAAATAGAGAAAACTATGCAGTAAATTACAAGGCAGACACGGGACAGTTGAGCAATATCTACTGTAATATTCTTAGTATGTCTAAATAATTTTTCTGTTAACAATTATATTTTAAATCACCCTGTATATTTTTAATGTGTAATTTTATTGTGTTTTAATTGTTTCATTGTTTTTGTTTGCTCTGTTTTTATATTTTTACATTTAATTACTAGTGACCTAGGTACTTTTAACAAAAACTGTCAGTACTGTTTTGAACAAATTATGTTCAACTTGTTTAAATACTTTCCACTCTAAATCTGTAAGTGAGTCACTTTTTATTCAAACTAATTTTTATATAACTTTTATTCAAATTTTTAGTTGTCTCCTGATGAAGCTGACAAAAAATCAGCGAAATATAGAGGATTAAAAGAAAAAAGAGTTTTTTTTTTAATAATAACAGACCGCATACCCGATATTCCAACACAATAAATTGTTTTTTACGTTTCGGTCGATAATCTTACCAGTTTTGCTATATATATATATATATATATATATATATATATATGATTGATTTTATATGATTGGCTTTTGAAAAACGTTTTTGAAAATAGTGGAAAGAAGTATATGCACAATTGTCGATGCCTACGTATTGCAAGTGTACATCTAGAGCTGGACGTGAAGCATGCGGAGTACAGTGCTGTAGTGTGCAGTAGGCATGTTCTCGTCATACAAACAGCAATATCCCTAAAGCAACAGCAATCGCAAATAAGCCAAGAGCTTCACTCGCCACAGGTACTGCGCAGGATGATCAGCGGGTGCTCAGTCAAACGGGACCACATGGGGAATATTTTTTCCACAGTGTTGTGAGTGTCTATAGCTAACAGTTTCTTCGTTATTGTAACTGTTCGACTATTATCCTTATGTGAAATTGATTACTCTTTTTCTCGTTTATGTCCCTTATTTCCCGACTTTCAGTTATTATTATATACTTTTATTTATATAATATATACTCACCTTGGACATACCTGTTGCGTTTTGTGCAAATCTATTGGTATTGCAATATATTTTTTTAATTTCATTAACCATAGGGAAAATATTTTCTTTTTTAAAAGGTACAGCAGGATCTATTAATAAAGAATAATTGCTATCCACTAACCGACCAGCTTGAGTAAAGTTTTCATAGTCTAAAATATTATCCTTTGAAGATATTTCCACAGAAATTTAACATTTTGAGTAATTACAATATATTTAATACTGTGACCTATACTAACCTTTTGACTCTTCGTCCGTAATTCCAATCATAACTGAAACTGGATTGAATTGTCCCTTCTCAAAACTTTCGTGCATTGTATCATCTGTTAAGAATGCATGCTCATAGTTTGGATCTTCTTTAGTAGGAGCCCAAGTTGGTCTGAATCCAAATAACTTGTAGTCGAAACCTTCCAAATTCTGGAAAATACATTAAAAATAAAAATGATAATTTCAGTCTTATGCTATTTGACACACAGCCATACGAGATACTTAGGTGGTATTTTTTTATAACTATGTTTATTTACAACCTACATAATTACAGAGTATTAAGTAAATGTGTTACTGGTTTTGGGCGTGAAGATAAGATACCCAATGATGTCTCACCTTATTCTATTTGGTTTAATTTTTAAGTAGGTATTGAGACCAGGTTCTATCTATTTTGGTTGTGACTGGACCATTGTCAAATAATTCCCTTACTAGTTCATTTTTATGGTGAGTGGTACGTTCATTTTGTGACTTTGTAGCTCGATGGATTTCTTCTCTGATGAAAGGAATCTTTAGGTCGAAGGTTTTGATTACTTAGGTATCATGGTGCATCCACTATCGATCTTAGCACTTTAGACTGGAATATTCGGATAATATTCAGCGACGTTGGCTTTGAACAGCCCCATAGGTGTAGTCCGTAGAACCAGATAGGTTTGAGTATGGCGTTGTATAGAATAATTTTGTTTTGGACGTTAAGTTTTGATTTACGTCCAGGGAACCAATACATTTGCCGGAATTTTAAGTCGAGCTGTCTTCTTTTGGTCTGGACATGTTTTTTCCAAGTGAGACGTTGGTCAAGATGGAGCTCAAGGTTTCTAACGTCTGTTACCTAAAGTTGGCATTCTTACATCTTTTATTCTTACAGGTGAGCATATGTTGTGGCAATTGGTAAATGTTATTTGAGTTGATTTTTTTTTTGTTTACTTTTGTTCTCCATTTTATATACCAATTAGTATATGTTCAAATGATGTTGCAAGTTTTGTGAGGCTTATATGAGATCTTCATTTACAGCTAGTATTGCTACGTCGTCAGTAAAGAAAGCGATTGTTATATTATTAGTCTTTGGTATATCGGCTGTGTAAAGGAGAAAAGCAGTGGCCCTAGAACACTACCCTGCGGGACAGGGGACTCCGAAGTTGATAGGACGGAGGTGTGATTATTGATCTTTAAATTTTACAGAGAAATATATTTGATATGTAGAATTTAAGTGGAAGAAAATAGTTACTGGATAGTGCTATTTTTACTTTGTAAAGCAGACCTCTGTTCCAGATTTTGACAAACGTTTGTAAGATGTCCAGAAGTATAGCGTTGTTGTCTTTCTTTTCTTAAAGATTTTTTAATATATCATTTATCATTTGATTGACTTGTTGGGTAGAGGAGTGATTTTCCCGAAAACCATACTAATGTTTTGGTAGTAATGTTGGAAATTCATAATCTGCGTATATCCGTTGTAGCAGCAATCTTTTAAAAACTTTGCTTAAGTAGCTTGACGGGTCGATAATAAATTACTTCATAGGGCTCTTTTACTGGTTTAAGGATCATACTAATTTCAGCAAATTTTAGAAAGTATAAGCTTAGCATGTGGTTAAATATAACTGTTAGCAAAGTAATGGTCTTGCGAGGAAGTTGTTTTAGTACTTGTGCCGAGATTAAATCATAACCTGGGGCCTTTCGTAAGTTAAGTTTGTTTATTTCTTACTTGATTATTGCAGGAGTAAATCTTTTAATTGGTTGAGACATTTCACATGCTACGCTAAATAGTTCTTCCACTTCTTCATCAGGGTCTACTGGCTCTGTTTAAAATACGTTTGTAAGATGTTCAGCAAAGACGTCCGCTTTTTCTTTATTGGAACAGGTCCATTCGCTATTTGGTTTACAGATGGGAGGGATAGTTGTGTATGGTTTCTTAAGCTTACTAGTTACCTTCTATAACGTCTGGTCATTGGCTATAAGGTTTGTAATGTAATGTTCCAAGTTGCCTACGTAGTCTATTAAATATATGTAGATCTATGTTGTTTTTAGATCTTTGCCAGGTTTTCCTTACACGACGTTTTTCAGCATTTAGTTGGCGAAAGTGCAGGGGAACATTTGTGGTATGTGTTGGTTTGTGTTCAGTTCGTGGTTTGTATGCCGTTTGTTGCACAAGTGCGGTGAAGTATTGAGATGCTGTATCTAGATTGGTGTTTTCTTCTAGGTAGGATTGAAAATCTGGCCAGTTGGTGTTTTTTGACGTGAGTTAAGGTGGTGAGTTGTTCATAAGTGTGGTACTCAGGCTCATAATAACTAGTATCTATCCATCTATCTATCTATAGCCCAAAATCTATTCATGTGCTAAATATAGGCCTCTCCCATTTGTCTCCATTTGTCTCTGTCTTCTGTTTGTCCTTTCCACATTGGACCTACGCTTTGCTCAATGTCATCTTTCCTGATAGTTGGTAAAGTAAAGTTAAAGTAACCTGTTAATAACATTTAAATGTTTAAATAGGTGTAGATATGTTCCATAAAATTTTTGACAGTTTAACACTATAGATGCAGAAAGAAAGCAATCAGAAACAGTATCATTAAACGATTAAATTAAGTTCAGTTCAGTTAAGAAACAAATATTTCAAATTACGCCGCAAAAATTTATTAAACAAAGACGGGAGAAAAAACAATATAATAGCTTTATAATCATGATTTTCCTTGAGCTTATTTTATTTTATTTTATAGCCCTCCCTAAACGAGGTGGTCTAGTTGCCTGGTTTCTGGGTAACCCCCCTCGTTTACGTCGCTGCCTGGTTTAGTACTGTGTGTCCAGACCGCGGAAGTGTGAAGTTTTTTGATACGGACCCTCAAGGAATATAATTGGTGACCCCTGCTATAGAGGAAAAGCTTTGCTGTGTACTGTATACCAAAAATTAGCGAAGAGTATCAAGAAAAATTAGAAGGGTGCACACAACAAATACTTAATATAAGAGTACAAATGTGGTTTTCGAAAAAGCAGATCAGTCACATATCATATTTTTACACTTAGGCAAACCTTTTTTTCGTCTTTATAGAGGGGGATCTGGAATCTTCAAAAGACATCTCAGTCCAGGACGCTGCCTGACTAACCTTAGTGCAGGATTCGTTCTTCGTACTCCTGGCGACAGTTCCCGAGGTACTTTAAAATGCCCTCTTGTCGCCGAGTCTACGCCGAACGCCTATCTGCTAAACCAGACCCTGCTCTGTCATCCAGCGACCCGGAAGCGAAATGGCCGCTGTAAGGCAGGCATCACTTCCGAAACACTACCTTTATTCATTCATACACATCCACACTCTATTCATCAGCAAGGACACTCTATTCATCAGCAAGATACTCCTAGTTCGGCATCATTCCCAGACGGGCATTTCCTCCTTCCCCACAGTCTGACTCACGCATTCTAATTCAACCAGTGTGACCCACTGTTCTAGCTTCACCTTTCAGCATCATTCACTCTTCCCTTTGCCGTTGGTTCAGCTGTATTTCTTCCTTTTCCTTTTTCTTGATCATTACACGGATATGGCTGTGTATGTTAATCCAATCTAATTTATTTTCAATCATTCTCTCAACCATTTCTCTCACTGTAACAAAATTCAAACCTGTCTCTCTCTCTCTCCATTCTGTTCCTTTCCACTATCCATCTGCTGCAATCTAACATCGTATGTACCACAGTGTCCGAGTATCCACAGTATAGGCCTTTCCGATCCTATAGAGGAAGGCCCTAAAACACCCGTATCCTGTGAGCACCTGCGTCAGGACATAATCCAGTCGCCTGTGGTCACAGTCCACCCAAGGTCTTATGTTCGGGATCAGCATTTTCGTCCACTGTGCCACATCCTCCGTGTTGTTCCATTCTTCTTGCCATCTTTCAATTGACCTTTTCCTTACCTGTCTTCTCTCAGCCACAGTAAGGTTTGGGCCTCTTCTCTCATAAAGCTCTTTTCTTTCCACACTTAGGCAAATCTGGAGAATGTGCTGTTGCACCTATGCTGTTTTTATTTATTTCAACAAGCATATGATTAAGTAAATCGACAAAAATTACTAGATTTGTTAAAATATTTGAAATTACGAGTAAATTAGTTAATCTAGTCAAAATTACAATCAGTAAGGTAAGCATATATGGAATGGAGGCGTGGACAATGACCGCAACATTGATGAAAAAAGTAGAGGCCTTCGAAATGTGGGCTTAACGACGTATATTACGTATATCCTGGACTGAGCACGTGAACAACGAAGAGGTACTATGCCGGATAGGTAAAGAGGGAGAGAGAGGTAGGAATAAGTATAAAGAAAAGAAAATTGGAATACTTGGGTCACGTTATGAGACATAATAAATATAGAGTACTACAGCTGATCGTTCAAGGGAAAATAGACAGCAGAAGGGGTCCAGGGAGGAGAAGACACTCTTGGCTTCAAAACTTGCGGCAATGGTTCAAATTGTCATCTACTGAACTATTCAGATCTACCGTAAACAAAGTCAGAATAGCCATATTGATTGCCAACGTTCGGAACGGACAAGGCACATGAAGAAGAAGGTAAGCAACTTTTTGACTGTTTCGAAACCTAATAAAGTTTAAAGCAAGGAGAACCTGTGTTTACATGTTCATCTTTAATGTGTGTCTAGAATGGGTGATAAGAGACAATTTAAACAGAACATTAAATTTAAGATCAAAGCGCTATCAGATATTCACTCATGCGGATGATGTTGGCATTCTGGCTAGATCTACACATCTATTAAGAGAGAAATATAAAATTAAAGATTAAATCCCTTATAATAGCCAAAATGCAAATGGAAATATAACATACAGTATGCAAAACATACAGTTTGCAAACAAAACTTCTATGTACTGGAACGCATTTGTTCGTTTATTTCTTTTCTAGTTTTTTTCTGTTGTTATCATCTTCCTCCTATATTCACCTTCGTTCATTTGGTTTTCCTATTCCACCTCCTGCACCCTCCTCAATTTTATCATCTACTCAGCTTTTCGGCAGTTATTGTATCATTATTTCTCTTAGCTTCTACTCCCTTCCTTGTTTTTCTTTTCATTTTCCTTCTTCTTAATATTATTAAAGTTGACTAAATAAAAATTGATTTATGTATTTTTAAATTTTAATAAAAACACCTACCTCTAATTGAACTTGGGCTACTTCTTTCCCGGGGAGACTTTGTAACAATTTCAGCAAATCGTGTGACGTATTCACTGAAGAATGAAAGTCTCGACTTAATTTTTCTCCTGCCATAAATGCAAATTTTCTGGGATTGGCAATGTAACTAAAACTCATTAGCGGCGTACCACTTTGGACTATGGCTGATCTGAAAAGTCCTAAAAAATACGTAAATGTATATTAAAGAAGGGCAATGTAGCTAATAAGACTCAGCCGCGACGATCCATTTTGGACCATAGCTAATACATAAAGACCTAAAAAATAGGTAAATGTATATCGAAGAAAAATGTAGAAACAAAAAACATAGAAAATACACAGAGAACGTAGACATCTTGCTAATAATTTACTTAGTATACTATAGAAGCTTAACATAAAACTAATTTATATCCAAGAGACCTTTTTGAACCTGAAATTCTTTTCACGTACCAGCAATTACGGCGCTTTCTTTCTAAATGTGCCTATTTTCTAGAGATGTTGGCGACCATATTGACTAATCTTATTCTATTTACAGCAGCTTGAAATATATCAGTTAACGTTAGACCAGTTCAATTCCTAAGATTGGCCAGCCAGGATATATGTCTACGTCCAGGTCTTCTCTTACCCTCAATCTTGTAATGTAGAATCAACTGTAGATGTTGTTATTTATCATTACGCATGATGTGGCCGAAGTAAGCTAATTTTCTGTTTTTTTATCGTGTTATTAATTTCTTTGTCTTTTCTTAGCCTCTGGAGAATTGTTATGTTACTTGTGTGGTGTATATATGGGACCCTCAACATACGTTGGTAGCCTCTATGCTACCTACAGTATTGTGCGAATTAATGGAATCATAGGCTGTTTTAATGAAAAAACAGTTTATTTAGTAAAAAATTATATTTTGACAAAACTATAAAGGTAAACTTACATCATTCAGTAGGAAATATGTCCCCCTTTGGCAGCAATTACTGCTTTTACCCGTTTTGGCATAGATTCTATGAGTTTCTGGCAGTTGTCAGATATCCTTTCATCTTGATACCAAACCTGAATGGCCGCTTTTATCATTTTTGTTTTAGTGGTACAGTCGATTTTTCGCAGTCTAGCTTTGCAAATGGCCCATAATTTTCAATGGGGTTGAGGTCGGGCGAATAACCGGGCCAATCTAAAACAATAATCTTCTTATTTTTGAAAAATGCCATCATTTCCTTTAATTTGTGACACGGAGCAGAGCCCTGTTGAAGAATCGCTACTCCTTGGGGTTGACATTTTTGGAGTTGTTTGTCCAAATACTTTTCCAACATGGATTTGTATTTTTGGCTGTTTATCATGCCTTCAATTGGCACTAAAGATCCAACCCCCATGTATGAAAAATATCCCCAAAACATTATCTTGACTGGATGTTTTACGGTTTGATCAATATGAGATCAATATGAGGTGTAAGCTTTTCATTGTCAGACTTCCCGACGAATTTCGACCGCTGTCCCTGAACTAGAAAATGGGTTTCATCTGTAAATAGGACTTTTTTCCAGTCGCCTACAGTCCAATTAGAGTATTTTTTGGCCCACTGTAGCGTTTATTTCTTCATTCGTTCAGTTAGAAGCTGTTTTTTATGTACACGAATTGCCCTTCTACTATTCTCCAAAAGTCTTCTACGAACAGTTGAGTCATGAATCACTATAGCTGATGCTACTAGATCTTGTTGTAGGTCTTGGCTTGATTTTCTTGAGTCCAATTTGCTCTTTCGAAGTAAAAATCTATCAGTTGCTGGTGTTGTTTTTCTCTTTCTTCCACATTTTCCTAACCTTTTCACATCCACTGATCCCGTTTCTCGTTTTCGCTTCAAAATTTTGCTAACTACCCCCTGACTCACTTCAAACGTTCTAGCAATCTCTCTTTGTGACATACTAGTGTGTTCACTCAACGTAACAATCTTTTCACGCTTCCTAGGCGTAATATCCATGTTGGAATAAAACCAAAAACAACACAAAATAGTACAAAACCCCCCAAAACAACACTAGCTTGGAAAGAAATGACCTAAAACACACTCAAACACACCAACACACAGTAAGGTTATGTTTTCAATGCTTGGTCAGCTGTCAACTGTGTAGGTAGTGTTGCCAACTGTGAATATTGAAAAAATGAAAAAAAATTCAGTGATTCCATTATTTCGCACAATACTGTACCTACATTTCAAATGCCTATAATCGTTTTATGGTATCTTCTGTAAGGATCCAGCTGTTTATTCCATAGATCATCATCATCATTAATGACGCTACAACTCTTCGTGAGTCTTTGCCGAGTTTAGTATTGCCTTCCATGTTTGTCGATCCTGTGCCAGTAATTCCCATTGTCGCACTTCCATTTTCTCTAGATCTTCTTTGACTGTATCTTTCCACCTTTTTCTAGGCCGCCATAGAGACCTTCTTCCATCTGGCCTTTCCCAGAGCACATTGTTTATAAGGCCATTGTCGTTACTGCGTATCACGTGCCCTGCACATCTGAGTCTATTGGCCTTTATATATCTGACTATATTTTTCTTTCCGAATAGAGACTCTCACTCGTTATTGTATCTGCCCCAACATTCGTTTGTTACGCTGTCTCTGCATGGGCCATATATCGTTCGAAGAATTTTACGTTTCCACACCAGCAATTTATTTACTCCTCTTTTTGTTAGCGTCCATGTTTCACTTCCATACGCGACTGCTGGTCGTATTATGATCTTATATATCCGGATTTTTGTACCTCGTGAAAGAAGTTTTGACTTCATCAGATGTTGCATTGTCAAGAAAGATCTGTTTCCTGCCATTATTCTCGTTGCAACTTCTCGCTCTAATTTGTTGTCATTTAAGATTGTTGCTCCTAGATATTTAAATTCTTTAACCACTTCGAAGTTGTGATCATTTATAGTAATATTTTGCCTTATTCGCCGTCGTTCTTGTTTTGAGACGACCATGTATTTTGTTTTGTCTTCATTTATTTTTAGACCGATGTTTAATGCAGCTTCTTCAAAGCTCGAGAAAATATCTCTAATGTCTAATATTCATTGTGCTACTGCGTCTACGTCATCGGCAAAGGCAAGTATGATTTTTGCTCCCCGAGCAGTTATGTCTGGTTTGATTTTTGGATATATTTTTCGCATGACATATTCTAAGGCCAGGTTAAACAACAATGGGGACAAGGGATCACCCTGTCTCAGTCCAGAATTTACGCAGAAAGCATTATATATTTCCCCCCCTATTCTAACTATTATTCCATAGAGGAAAACACTAAAAACGTAATATCTAAGAATTCTTATGCGTATATTGATAGTACAACTAAATATAAGTTGCAGACAATCTTCCTAAGGCTGTTGAAAGAGCTTGTGGCTTTTTCAATGCGAGTTTTTATTTCGTAGCTGTGATCCCAAGTATCCTTAATATTTCAGTCCAAATAGCATATTTTTTCCACTCTATCTAACGGTGTATCGCCTACAGTAATTTAAGTGTTTATGTTGGTGTTCTTACTAATGATCATTATTTTTGTCTTCTTGCTATTTAGTTTTAGGCTGTATTTATTACATGCTTCTACAACGTTATCAACCATCCTTTGGAGCCCCTGCGCAGTATCTGCCAAAAACACTGTATCGTCTGCATATCTAATATTTTTTATGAGTTTTAACCCTCTCTAACCCTCTCTAACCCCTTTTTCGACTGTGAAGATCTCGGACAGTCTATTTTCTAATCGTACTGTTGCTTTTTATTGAAGATATAAGTTTGAAATCAGTATTATATTCTTACCATCGAGTCGTGATGTTTTTAGGATATCGATTAGTTTCCCATGTGGGACTTTATCAAATGCCTTCTAGAAATCAATGAAACATGCATACATATCGCAGGTTTTCTCTCAGGTGTTCTTCTAATTTGGTGTATATATGCGAGTGAATGATAGTAAGAAGTACTTTACGTACATGGCTCATCAAACTAATTAATCCATGTTCTTTTTCTAGCGTTTGGTTTTTTAGGAAGTGGAATGGATATTGATAGTAGCCAGTTTTTTGGTAAGTAACTAGTCTCGTATATGTTGTTGAATAATTTCGTAAGAGCTGTGATTTGATGTGCCTCTAATAGCTCTAAAATTTCATCATGCCTGGGAAGGGCCATTTCAGGACCTGTTGGGAAATCACCATCGGTGATTTCCCATCTTTAATCCGCTTAATGGCCATAGTTGCTTCTTCGTTTGTTATTTCTGGGCCGTAGGGATTGTTTATTTCAGTCGGACTTCATGCTGCACATTCGAATAATTCTTGCATATATTCTTTTCAACTTCGTAATTTATCTTCAATGGTAGTCAAAATCTGGTCTTTAATTTCTGAAAACTTTGCTTGTATTGCGTTGTTTTCTGGTATACTGTACCTCTTTAATTTTTTTGTGCATATGAAAATCATCGTGTTTGCGTTGGAGTGTTTCAACTTCCGTACATTTCTCCGTCAGATATGCTTCTTTTGCCCATTTTATCTCCTTTAGTATAGTCTTATGCAACTTTTTGTATTCGTTGTCATTTCTATCTTTTTATTTTCTTTGTTCTTTCATCATCTGTAATATTTTATCTGTCATTCATTCTTGCCTCTTTTCCATTTTTGATTTTAGATATTCATGCGCAATTGTTGTAATAGATGTCTTTATTTCGTTTCACTGTTCTTCTATGCATCTAGTAGTGTCTTGAACTATTTTCGCAAAACTCATATTAATTATTAAGGCGCTATGAAATAATAATTAAAAAAGTTGAGAAAAAATTGGTAAGAAAAAACCAAAAATTCTGTTCTTTTGGATCATTTGGATCGTACTCTATCCACGGTCCGCGGACCCCTGGGGTCGCGAGCATATGTTAGAGGATCCGAGGATCTATGGAGATTTGAATAAACAACTGTAGGTCTTGTCATCTTTACGCTCGTGGATGTGCTGTGAGTGAAATGAGTAAAACATATGCACGCGTTGAACCTTCTCCACTGCCACACCATCCGCGCCCTTGCAACACACTTGCGGCAGCTTAGCCTTGAGCTGATTTATTATTCGTGTATTAAAATTTAAGTACGCGTACCTCTTCGCATTGTTTTTTCTGTTTTCTGTGTTGTTGCACTGACTTGGATCTTCCTTCTTGAAAATTGCTGTGGTTTGTCCATTTTTCAAGTCTACAGGCTTTTTCCGTCTTTCCAAATTTTGACCATTAGTTTTTACATCCGTTTTAGCAATTCCTCTTCTCCGTGTATGATTAGTTCGTTGCTAATTTCATCTGGTCCTGGAGTTTTGTTTAGTTTTAGTTGCTACGACAGTTATATATATACAGGGTGGTGAATCGTCAAACGGGCCATAGGAAATTCATTGGGAAATTCTAAATTGTTGAATTCCTGCTTCCCTAATTATTTTACATTAAAAGTCATAGGAAACTATTTGTAGAGGACTAAAATATGTTTTAAAAACAAATGTTAAAATTGTTCTACGAATTAAATGTATTCCAAAATTTTGGAAAAATATGATACATTTTTCAGGTGACCCCTTAAAGGCAGGCCACACGAGGTACAAGAATGTGTATGACATGTTGCGTTTGGTCATATTTATGTTTCTGATATTTGACAATATTTGAATTGCCAAAATTTTTATTTGGTGATTTATTGTTTAAAAAACAATATAGGTAGTTGATTAAAAAATGTATTCAGTTGAGGAGAAAGTAGCAATAATAAAAATGTTTTATTCAAGCATAATAAATTTACAGATATTAAAGCATTAAAAATGCGAATTATTGAAGAGTGTGAGAAATAACGCCACCTATTCTGGCTAATGTTAAGACGAGAATTTTACAATCGAATGGGATACTGTTTAGTACAAAATGGCTTATTGTTTGAACATTTGTTATAGTTTTATGTTTAGAAATTATCATAAATTATTATTGGGAAAGATCACAGTAAAACTTTATTGGAATTCTTTGAATTGTTGTATAACCTGGAATTGGATTGGAGTGTATTACGATATCTTCTGTTAAATAAAGATATGGCAGTGCTCGAACTATTGCCTGAGTACATTATTGCGATTTTCATGAACTGAATACATTTAATTAATTTTATTGCTTTGTAAACAATATAATTTATTGTTTAAAAAGTACTATTTATTGTTCACTAGTAGTAGCAGTATTTGTATATATATATATTAAACCGGTTTTATAGCGTTCTACGCCTTTCCGTTCCTAATCGCCACTCTTTTCTATTATGGCAGTGTTCATCTCTCAAATTTCGTTCCGACATTGCCTTGGAGATGCCTTTCATCCATGTGGTTACTGGTCTTCCTCGTTTTCGTTTTTCTGTGGGGGTCCATTCTAACACTTTCTTGGGGATTCTTCTTTCTTCCATTCGTCTTACGTGCCCGTACCATACTAGCTGTTGTCTTTCAATGTCATCTATGATTGTTCTTTCTATTTCCATTTGTTGTCTAATGTCGTCGTTTCTTATGTGTTCTAATCTAGATCTTCTTGCTGACCTTCTCCAAAAATCCATCTCAGTGGCTAGTAATTTATCCTTGTATTTCTTAGTTAATTGCCAGACTTCAGCTCCATAAGTTAACACTGGTTTTAATATTGTGTTGTAAATTCGTTTTTTATTTTCTGTTCTTATATTTTTTTGCCACAGTACCGAATTCAGGGCTCCTATCACCTGTCTTCCCTTTACTATTCTGTCTTTAATATTTTCTTCGGTTCGTCCTGTGCTCGTTAGTTTTATTCCCAGATATACATATTCCTTACAGCTTGTAATTGTCTCCTGTTCCAGGTTCAGGTTCTCTGTTTCTTCTCTGCCTACACATAGATATTGTGTTTTTTTGGTGTTTACCTCCAGACCCCATTTTCTGTATTCCTCTATCAGTTTCCTTGTCATATATTCAAGATCTTCTTTGTCCTGTGCAATTACAATTTGGTCATCTGCATAGTGTAGCGTATAGAGTATCGTATCGTATCGTATATACAAATTTTAGTATTTGTGTATAATTTGACAAAAAAAACAAAATAAAATATTGACAATTCAAGTAGGTAGGTATTGCCAAATATCAGAATCATCAATATGACCAAACGCTTCATGTCATACACATTCTTGTAGCTCGTGTGGCCTGACTTTAAGGGGTCACCTGAAAAATGCATTAAATTTTTACAAAATTTTGCAAAACATTTAATTCGTAGAACAATTTTACAATTTGTTTTTAATACTAACAATTGGTAGATGACTTCAGTCCTCTACAAATAGTTTATTTTAACTCTCGATGTAAAATATTTAGGAAAGCAGGAATTCAACAATTTAGAATTTCCCATTGAATTTCCTACGGCCCGTTTGGCTATTCACCACCCGGTATATATATATAAATTAATGAAATCTATCTTATTTGTAGGAGAGACTATTTACTTTTATATAAGTGTAACTCACACTTCGAAGGTTTTTAACTTACCTTTTGATTTTTTACTAAGTATGTGATATCCAGTAGAAATTGCTCCTGCACTGTGACCTCCCAAAGTTACTTTTGTAGGATCTCCACCAAATAGTTCGATATTTTGATTTACCCATTTAAGAACCATTAACTGATCTTTAAGGCCCAAGTTTGCAGGGATAACATTATCTTCCGTTGATAAAAATCCTATAAAAATAAAATACAAAAGTAAGTAAACTTCCTTCGGTATAACGTAATTTATGAAGTATGATTTTTAAATATATCATTCATCTAGATATCCATCGACTAACTAACAGAATCATTATGTCCAAGATTAAAAACTACTCATAAATTAGAAACACATCGAAAAAACAACTAACTAAAAAGGCTTTAAAACACAATAAGTGATAAACTGGAATACAAATTGAAGATATTCTTCTTCTTATTCTTTTGGCATCATAACCCTGGATGGGTCTTTGCCTGTCTGGCTATGTCCTTCCATTCAGATCTCTCTTGTGCCCTTCTTCTCCATTGTCTTATGTTCATTAAAATTGAACTTGAAATTGAAATTGAAGATATACTACGCTTAATATACAGATGGGACCTTTCATTTAATATTATACACAGCACCGAAAATGTTATCCCAAACTCAATGCTGAGAAATTTGAATTTTTATAGGTATAGTGTAGATAAGACGAGAACTTAGCAACATATAAATGCGATTTGATGAATGCAAAGTATCCAAACAGACCGATATCAGCCGATTAATAATCAGTCAAATTAAATTGAGAAACAATTTAGGAGAAACTGGTCATGTTAAAAATATTTAAAATGATAGATGTTCTGAGGTATCCGAAAACGTGAAGTTTAATGTTAATTATCATAATTCTTCACGCCAAATTGCAGTGGATACAGGCCCATCTCAATGAAGATGATCCTGATATACCCTAATCGTACCATCCTATTTCTCTCAGATGAAACATATGCAAAATACTGGAAAACATTTTTAATCTTCGTCCAACATGTTATCAAGAAAGAAAAGATCTCCCTTTCAAAGTGGTTTTCAAAAGGGAGCGATAGACCTTAATAAATGAAGCCTTTGCAAACAATCAGAAGTTTATGGCAATATTTATATATATCGTCTAGATATCGTCGTATATAAAAAAGACGTAATACGTTAGTAGACAATTAGAAGAAACATATCTAAAAGGGCATTAATATTTGTATAGTCTCCAGCGAACTTTATTTCCCACTAGTGCTTTGATTTCATGTAAGGATTTTTCCATTTCTTTTCCTTCGTCTAGTATTGTCCTTTTCCAAGTTTTTTTCAGCTCTGCCTACTTTCCGTAAGTCTTTAGGGTTCCAATCCCGTGTTATCCTGGCGATGTCATCTTAGGTTCCACGAAGTGTATGGCACAGCAATCTCTCTTCTCTTTGCCTTATTTGATTTACGAGATTTTCTTAGATTGCTCGGTTTCATAAATTTTCGTTCAACATTCGATTTTTAATTTCGTTTTTGTTTGGCAAATCTTGTATTTTCACGTGTTATTTAGCATACTGTAGGTATTAAAACACATTAATTCTTTTCTTAACTGCATCACACCCTGTACCAATGTTACAGTAAATTAGGCTGCCCAGATAACACTTTTCACAAATCTTTCAATTTCCTATTTGTTACCACCTTGCATCGCATTCATTTGGTTTTGTTAATGTTTATTTTTATACTAACCTTCTTTGATTCTTCTTGTAATCTGTTTACTTGGAGTGGTATATCCCGTTTTGTTGTCCCATCAGTTTGTCTAGATCAGTGTGTTTGTTAATCTCCAGTGAACTCCTCTATTAGACTTTACTTTGTTTAGCACATTTTTTAGCACAATTAAGGTCGATTTATACATATCCGCCCCTCAGTCCCCCAAAGAAAAACAATAATGTACTCTTACAAGTATATTTATAAATTGGCGTTTTTCGGACGGGGCCCCTCCATGCTCGGCTTGAAATGCCAAACGATATTTTTATTTTCGACACTGGCCATGCACGGAAATAACATGGACCACACGGACTTGTTTAAACACTATTTTATTGTTTTCTGAAGCGAGGGCTGGTAAACAGACAATCAGGAGATATTGTGCGGTTAGAATGTTATATTTTTTTATATCAAATAAAAAAAAAAAAAAAAAAGAGTAATGCGACCTTCTAAAATATTCGTGAAATTTTGTTTCATCATCCATTCTCTTTATATTTTGAATTCTCCTTTGGTTTGTCTTTTTTCTAGACGATTTATCAAGGTAAAAACGTTGCACGTCACAATTTATATAAAATGACGTTATTTATATTTAAAATTTCCAGAACGTCAACCTTAGAGTTCAAATTTTCCTAACACAGCTAATAATACGAAACCCCTACGGAACTGCTCGATCTTTCATAGGCGTCAACATGCTATAATAAATCAGAAAAATGGAATCATCTTTATATTGGGTAATTTAGAACTATATTGATAATAATCAAAAACATTTGTTATCATGAAATTTGATGAAATAACTCTTTAAATCTAATATTCCACAAAATAATAATTTTAATTAAATAGATTATACAATTATACGCAACTAATACGGGTATACTTACAATCTTAATGACAGTTCAGCGTGTGACAAAATTGTTTACAATGTTGCCGCTTTTTTAGAGTAAGAATTTTGTTTATATTTTGATTTCTTACACAGTTTGATCATAATATATTATATATTAATAAATTGTATTTATAAATATATATTAAATTTAGATTAATAGCTTTAAAAACTAATTATTGTTGTGTATTGTGATTGTGCTATGCCAAAACAACTAAATAAACTGTAGAAAGCTGATAAGCTTTCACGTATGATAGATTATATTAAACAAGAAATAATGCAGGACGTTTTTACTATTAATGCTCTAAAAGAGGTCAGTTTAAAATTTAGAATAATATGATTTTGTATTAAAATATTTTCTTATGTATTTTAGTGTATTGCAGTAGTCTTAAAACTAAGTATATTTACTGTTTATATAATAGTTTGACAAATAGTTGACATTTTAAAAATTCCTCACTTTATAACTATTCTGATGTTTTGGCAACGTTGTCGAGTTCTGACGTCGTAAATCTTGAATGACGTACAATCATTTTTATATGAAAAATTCTATAGAAAGGATGCACCCTACATCTTCTTCGCTCTCGATCTTCCAATCAAGTAATAATGACAACATGGGGGGATCTTCTATCCAAGCTATCCAAGATATTTTCAACTATCTTTTACAATTTAAAAATACCCGGACTCTATTGGGCCATATGTTACACCCTTATGTAGGACTTTTCTTTCTGCATCACTGTATAGTTCTTTGATTAGATTTATTATTAATAAATTAAAAATTGTTATATCAATAATAAAAACAATGAGAAACGCAACTAACTTATTAATTTAGTGTAGCTAGTTGTATGCAAGACTTAAGATGAAGAAAAACAAATTTTAGAATTAGATTATAAATTCGTTAATAACAAATGAAATAATATACCGAACCCAAAATAGCTGTATACTGTTAGCAGAAAAGGTAAAATTTTGCCACCGTTAACTAAACGGTGTAGGTTTACTAAACACCATAAATTAGAACCTATTCACAAAATGATTTTTTTTCTTACCCAAACTATTCATTCTGTAGTTAAATGAAACAACCACAACACCTTCATCTACGAGATAATGGAAATCATATCCTGTAGGATTTCCATAGATAAAAAATCCTCCGTATATGAATACATAAACGGGAAAACCAGTAACATTATCTTTATTTGGAAGCTAAAATATAATCAAAAATGAAAAATTTTGAATATACCTAAACTATTTATTTTGTATGGAACTGGAACTATTTATTTTGTCTGTATAATAATATGGAACTCTTAACCGCTGTGATTTCCAAAGAGAAACGAATGCGCTTCTATGTTTATTTGTTTGTATAAATATATGTTATATGTTTATATAAATGGGAATAACTCCAAATAACTCAAATAGCAGTTAGCTATTAGGACCTATATAAAAAAAGACACAATAGTTATTGTAAAGCAAATTAGTATTTAGTGGGATAACCTATGTTTTAATCACAGAATCAATTTTGAGCACGGAGTTTTGAAGAATGACTTTTATTAGTTCTCTCCCGTTACTTGGGTTTCGGCGCGATGCTAATACTTTCAGCACTGACCATAGATTTTCTGTTGGATTTAAATCGGGACTATTTTTAAATTGTTAAGACATTGTTAAGCATCCCCTTCAAACAAATCTGTGACAGTCGGTAGCAGTTTCGCTTGCAGTATTTCTTTCCTGATATTTTTTGCATTTATATTGCCCTTGATGATTGCCAAAAGTCCAACTCCGTAAGTTGACATCCAAATCCATACCATAACACTCACAGGGTGACCGGTGACACGGGTGACACAGGCTTCATAGTGACCGTAGCACACTAGTGCAAAAGGTCTGCGCCCTCCCTCTGTGTCAAAGCCCAATCAATCCATTTTGCCTCTGTTTTTTGTTCAGGAACGGCTTTTTTTTGGGGTTCTTATTCGCAAACCATTTTCACATAACTTTCTTCTGATAGTACGATCAGATATGTGTCAGCCAGTTGATTTGACAATAGCATTCATGTCTTTTGCAGATCTATAACGATCTTCTTTTGCTGATTTTGTCATTCCAGTGTTATGATAACGTTTATAATCGTTTGTTATGGCTAATTTGGTGGCGCTACCACTAAATTTGTTTGCTATTTTTTGATATTGTAACTCTCTTCACGAAAAGTAATTCTTTGGCTCTCTTTATTGATAACCAGTCAACAAGTTGTGGGATTCTGAGAGCCATTTACGTTGAATCGACATTGATGTGGTTAAAAATCACGATCATGAGACGAGTGTAACTGAAAAAATAATGATTTTTTAAAGTTTTCAGAATTTTGGCCACTAGTGTAGAATAAAAATAAGTAAACATTTTTTAAAACTATTTACACTTTATTTTTTAGGCCTCTTTTTTTTAGGAATTTCTTAAGGATTATGCAAGAATAATTTTTTTATTGTCTTTTTGGCTCTCCATAGAGAATAATCAGTTTTGCTGCCATTTATCAGTCTCCTTACTTATCCAATAATTGATTTATTTTTGACTTTTTAAATTAGGCAACACAAGATTGATCGCCTAAATTGGTCTTCAATAACAAAACTGAAACATTGGAAATTGACAAAGTGTGCTATTTTAGACCAAACTAGGATTTGTGTAAAATCATATGACCGATAAATCCGTAGGAGGGCGTTGGAGGGCAAGGAAGACAAGTAGGAACGAAAACAGCAAGATTTGTTCACAGACATGAAGGAGGAAGTGTTATGTTCTCGAGAAGGAAAACGGGTTTTTGGAAAAACTCCTTTAATTTCCATTCAACAAACTTTAATAGCTCGCAGGTATATTGATGTGGATCATGATGATAATTCACGAAAATTTAATTTTCATGCATTATCATGCACCTCCGCATACCAGACTACAGAGAGTCACTACAGACTTCTGGTATCACTATTCTGTAATGACCTACTTACTCACTCGACCTTAACCCTATAGAGAATTTGTGGGATTTGCTTAAAAAAGAATTGGACCACGCCAGGATAATCCACAGAATAGCAAGCTGCTATTCAAGAAAGTTAACAACTTATCACAATAAAATGTTGGCAATTTTTTTTAGGAGCATTCCTACGCGAATTGGACCTTGAATAAGGCCTAGGGTGAGTAACACTAACTACTAAAAAGCATAAATAAATACAAATAATTTATACATTATTTCTTGTACATTGAAATTTCTTATGCTCTTAACTTTAAAACAAATAATTTTAATTTTATTATATAAGAATTTATGTTTTTTTTCTGCAACTGTACAATTAGAAAATGAACTGTCCGAGATCTTCACAGTCGAAAGAGAAGTTAGACAGGGATGCATATTGTCACCGGCATTATTTAACATATACTCTGAAAACATCTTTAGAGAGGCCTTGGACGAATCAGAAGATAAAATTGCTGTAAATGGAAAAATTATAAACAACATTAGATATGCAAACGATACAGTGTTGCTGGCAGATAATGCGTAGTGGCTCCAAAGGATGATGGATAACGGTGTAGAAGCATGTAACAAATACGGCCTAAAACTTAATTGCAAGAAGACAAAAATAATGATCATTAGTAAGTACACCGGTATAAACGCCCAAATTACAATTACCCATACACTTCTTACAGAGGCAAGATTGAGAGGCCCTGGACGTAGACGTATATCCTGGCTGGCCAATCTTAGAAAATTGACTGGTCTAACGTCAACTGATCTATTTCGAGCTGCTGCTGTGAATAGAATAAGATGGGTCAATTTATTCCAATATCTCTAGAAGATAGGCACATTTAGAAGAAACGTTTTTTTTTTATTTTTATGTATTGTTGATTAAATTGCTTTAAAATAAATATTGTTTGAATTCGTAGGTTGATTTTTTTAACCCGGCGACTGTGTGGTGAAATTTTCTAACAGGAGCTGTGTGTTGGGGTAATTATCACCCCATTTTTTTTTTATTTATAAAATTGAGAAAATATTTTATTTTTACATGCAACCTTAAGATTTTAAATCATGGTTATATTGTTATATAATCTTTTTCAAAGTTAAATCATTTTAAAAATTTTCGTTAATAATTCAACGATTCAAAAAATATACTAAAATTTAGTTGATATTTAAACCACTACCACAATTTTTGTTAATAAAATTTTTATTAGAGATATAGAATAAAAAAAAAACTACAAATTCTATAAAAAGTAACTATGATCTTTTGTTTAAAAAGCATAATTAACAATTATTTGCACATTTAGAACAAAAATATACACAATGTTCAAGACAAAGAAAAATGTCACATTTTACACATTTCTTTTGGCACTTTCTGTCCTTTCCACGGGGACACACTCCACATCTGGATGTTGTTCGTTGTTTCTTGTTTGAAGGTCCTTGAGAGTCCTCTCCGCTGTCATTTCTTTTTAGTTTCGCTCTTATGTCTGATGGTATTCTTTGATTATTACCTCTTTTTTCAATATATGGTTTAATTAGTGCCAAACCAAGTTGTTTTAAAAAAAAATCTGCGTTTTAGTTTTTCATTTGGCTTGTTATGTTGATAAATAACATAACTATTTATTCCTGCATTATTAAGCAGCGAAAAAAAAAATTGTTAGTGGCCATCGCTTGCTATTACGAGACACATTATATAACGCAGACATTTCGTCAACCATATCCACTCCACCTTTTGTGTGATTATAAAAGTCTATAATCTCAGGTTTATTTAATTTGTGGTCAAATTCTGTATCATGATGAAGTGAAGAAGCTACTAACACTATTTTATTTTTCTTCGGGACAAAGGACACCAAAGAAATGTCTTTTTTAAATCCGAAAATTGCGTGGTTTTCAGCTCTGTTTTTGGAATTCAAAAAGATTGTCGGTATTTCCCTCTTGTTTTTACGAATAGTTCCAACAGATGTTAACCGATGTTCACTAAGCAAATGTTCCATTAGCGGTATGCTGGTAAACCAGTTGTCGAATGTAATGTTGCGATTAGTACCACGAATTGGATTTACAAGCCTGTTTACTACATCAAACGGTCTATTACTAAATTGAAAAGGTCCCTCAGGCTGTGAGCCAACATATACCTCTAAATTTAAAATGTAGAATGTTTTGGCATCCACTAAGGCAAATATTTTAATGCCATATTTGGACGGCTTATTGGGGATATATTGCCGAAAGGAACAACGTCCCCGAAAAGATTCTAATTTTTCGTCGATCGTCAAGTATTGACTAGGAATAAAATATTGTTGACAATTGGATACAAATCGATCAAAAAACAGCTCGTATAGCTGCCAGTTTATCTACTCTTTTTCGTTCGTCTCTATTTTCGATATTATCGAATCGTAGGCACTTTAAAAGTAATATAAATCTTTGCAGGGACATTGTTAGCCTGAAAATGTCAATTCCTGTTCCATCTGTAGCCAAAGATCCTCCAGATTTAACCTATTGGCTTTATAAACGCCTGATAGATATAGTAATCCGAAAACTGCACGAATTTCTTCTGCGTCCGTAGGCTTGGTGATATATTTATGTTGGTCATTATAATTCTGAGCGACTAAACTGATTTTTTTATTAGTGCATTGGACAATATCTTCTACAATAATATTATCCATGAATAATTCCCAGCAAGAAATGGGTGATTTGCAATGTTTTGCATTATTTCGAACACCGGGAAGTAAAGTAATTAAATTTTCTTGTCGTGTTCTAACCGATTTATTAGGACAGTTCTTTGACCATTTTGTTTTCCCATCCCGTCCGATAAAAAACTTAGATTGTCTTACTTTATCATCTTCAAACTTATTGTTGTCTTGAGAAGATTCTTCCGACGATGATTGACTTTCCTGATTAGAAGTTCCAGGCTGACAATTTTCCACTGATTGAAGTTGGTTTTGTAAAACATCCTCACTGGAACTAAGGCTAACCTGCTGACTTTCATTTTCAGATTCGCTTTCTGATCCTAACTCTGATCCAGTTAATTCATCCTGCCAAAGCTTCAAGAGAGCTTCTTGTTCTTTCTCCCAACTACACATATTTCGATATGTCTGAAATTAAGAATATCTAATCAATTTTCAATATTCCTAACAATTAAATTATGTTTCTGTTAAAAAAATCGAGATAAGTTGTGCTAGTATAAGAACTTACCTGTTAATAATTAACCGGTGTTGTGGGGTTAAAATTACCCAAAAACTAAATAATACTGCACTTCAACTGTGTGGTGGGGTTAAAATCACCCACAAGTCCAAAGAAGGCGACACCACTCATTCAAATCTTATTTATATACTGAAATTTATGATGCAATACAAGGTCTGTTATATTATGGGAAGGTACTCGTGGCGCCAGACGAATCTGGCGATGTTGCCACTATTTTAACAAGCGGTAATGAACGACGTGGGTTATTTTCACCCCACAACACAGTTGCCGGGTTAAATACGCTTAAAATAAAAAAAAAATATCAGATGGTTCCATATAAGTTTGATTGTGTGTAAATATGACAAGTCTTAAGTAAAATGTAAAAAAAACGTATGAGAATAATATAAAAACTGTTGAAATACTTTAAAACTAATAAAATAATGCTAGTGCTTAGGATAAACTACTTACTTGAGGTGTAAATACATTCAGATACAAACAGTCTTCGTTTTCTCTTTTGTCATCTTTGTAATATTTAAGTTCGTGTGGAATTAGTGGTGGTAATTTGGTCAAACATATTTTCGTAATATTTACTGTTTGTTTGATGCCTTTCCATTTCTTAGGAGGAATAGGTTCCTATAAAAAAATATATAGAGAATATGAATTAGATATTTTTAATCACAAATAAGAAATTAGCAATAAGTAAAATTATGACTAACATATTTTGCTTATTAATAATGCTAATTTTTTTTAGATGTAATTTTAAATTTGTAGATTTGGATTAAAAGGGATCATAGTTACAATAAAAAAAAGTTAAATATCAAGAAATGAAGAAATTAACATCAGAAATGAAAAATACTGAGAATTTGAACACTATGTGGAGCAAAATCAAAGATTGTGTTATAAAAACATAGACTCTAAATCCTGGAAATCATGTAACAAAGAAGAAAAATAGAAACAAAAACCGTAATAAGTACAGAGAAAATCATAAATCATTAAGGATCAACATAAAAGAGGCTAAGGAAAAGTGGATGATGGAAGCATACGTCAAAGTGGAAGAATTGCAGAAAAAGCATGATCATTATAATTTACATAAAAAAGTGAAAGCATTATCTAAAAAATCACGAACAAATACACCTAACCGATTAATTGACAAAAACAATAAACCTATTAATAACCCAATTGAAATAAAACAAGTATGGACTAAATATACTGAAGATCAATTGACACAAGAACAGAACCAACACAAATTGTTAACACGAGGAAGCTCCAATAATATTAAAATGTAAAGTCAAACATGTTATAAACAACTCAAAATATGGCAGACCCCCTGGGCCAGATAAAGTTTATATCGAGCTGATTAAACTTATAGACGAAGACAATTTGATTAAATGAAGAGAAGACAAAATATATGTGTATAAATAGAGCGACACGAAGAGACAGAATAGGACAAAATGTCACGGTCAACACCTTCAATTTCGAAAGAGTACAACGTTTTAAGTATTTGGGGGCCGTAATCACAACTGACAACGATGTCACTGAAGAAATAAAAGGCAGAATCCAATCTGTAAACCGCTGTCTATTTGCACTGGATAAGCTCATAAAATCAAAAAATCTCACAAGAAGTTCAAAGATCAAAATCTATAAATCCATCGTCAGACCTGTAATAATATACGGATGCGAAACGTGGACCATGACCAAAGCAAACGAAGAAAAGCTCAGACTCTTTGAACGCAAAATACTTAGAAACATTTTCGGACCTCACCATGACATCACCACAAACCAGTATAAGATCAGAACCAATATCGAATTAAAAGCACTCTACAACGATGCAGATATTGTACAAGAAATTAAATTACAGCGACTAAGATGCGCAGGCCACGTGCACAGACTGCATAAAGAAAGACTTGTAAAATTGGTATGGAAGGAGATTCTCACAGGCAAAAGACCACTCGGACGTCCCAGAATGCGATGGAGATATAACATCCAAGCAGATCTTCGGAAAATGAACATTCCATTTGACCCTAGATTGATGGAAGATCGAACAAATTGGAAAAAAGTTGTACAGTCAGTCAAGACCCACCTAGGGTTGTAGTGCTACGTGATGATGATGATTACGAAGACAATTTAAGTGAAATAACTATACTTTTTAACAAAATATACAAATCTGGTGAGATACGTACAGAATGACTGCCATCGACCTTTGGTCCGCAACCAAGAACCAAGAAGCCCAAACACTGTAATGACTATAGATTAATGAGAAACCTTTCGACAAAGTTAAACATAACATTCTCATGGAATATCTAAAAATATCTAAAGAGAACGAGAAAAGAAAGAGAAGTTCGTGTAACCTTCTGGCTAAGGTCTAGTGTTAGAGTTTTCAGGTCGCGCAAACGCCCCTAACATGACTTAACGAGTACTTTCGTAGCCGGGACCGACGGCTAAACGTGCCCTCCGAAGCACGGTGGCAGCTCAGTTAAATTCGGAATTTTAAATTTTTGTCGGTGCCGGGATTTGAACCCGGGCCCTCCAGTTTGTTAAGCCAGTAACATAGCCACTAAGCTACGGCTGCCACACAGCACACAACATTAACATAGTGAAAAATCTCTATTGGAACCAATAGGCTGTGATAACATTAGATAAAAATAGCACTGATGCGCAAAAGATAATTAGAAAAGTGAGACAGGGCTGTGTACTTTCATTACTATTAATTATATATTCTGAAGAGTTATTTACGCAAGCACTTGAAAACTGTACAGAAGGGATCAAGACAAATGGTAAAAATATAAATAACATCCGTTATGCTGACGATATAGTCATTATTGCTGAAAGTGAGACAGACCTGCACACGTTACTAAACACAATTTGTGATACTAGGAAACAGTTTTGTTTAACAATGAACATAAAGAAAATAAAAACCATGGTTATCAGTACGAGGAGTCATTACAAGGATCCAGATAAAAAATTAAGATATTGAGCAGGTGGATTAAATGAAATACTTATAGAGTCTGGATTACGGAAAATCTAAATCCGAGATCAAAAATTCGCTCAAGAATAGAGCAAAAAAGTGCAGCCTTTTTAAAGATGAGGAAATTTCTGAGTAACCAAAGACAAATCCGATGGTAAAATCCGATATTGGATGGTAAAATCCGATGGTATCCACTCTATTCTTTTTTATGGTTATAAAGCCTGGACTGTTAATGTTGACTTAATGAGAAACTAGAAACTTTTGAGATAGGGCTTTTTAGGAAAATTTTGAAGATACCATGGACCGAAATCCATATTACGAACGAAATGGTGTTGCATAGAATGGGAAGAAACAAACAACTTTTGACCACCATTAAAAGGTGATATACAACATATTTGGGGCACATACTTAGTAATGATAAGTACGAATTGTTGCAGCTGATTATAAAGGGTGAATTCGAAGAAAAAAGTGGTCCTGGTAGACGACAAATATCCTGGTTAAAAAACATTCGCGACTGGACCGGGTTAAAAACACAGACGCTCTTAGGAAAAGCAGAAGATAGAGACGAATTTGCAATGGTTACAGCCAACCTTCATTAGTGGACACGCCACTAGAAGAAGAAGAAGTTTTAAATATCAATTTCATCTACACTTTTGATATTGCTACCGGGTGATGGTGTGATCTATAGGCGAGAAGTTTATCCATATAAGCAGAGCATAAACCGTCTAATTTTTTTTTACATTTCTACCGCACCAATCCTTTTTATTCGATGTTTTCTATATTTTTTCAAATTCAAATGTATTTTTTTATTTTTCCAAGTTGGCCGAAAATTGTTATTAATAAATAACTTTAACAAAAAATCAATTTCCCAAATCGCGTCGAATAAAATTTTTTAGGCTTATCTCATCGAAATAAATCCTTTTTTCTTAACAATTTTTCGAAAAATACATACTTTTCGAGTTATTTGCAATTTTTCGTTGAAAAATGCCTTAACTAGCGATTTTTGTGATTTTTTGAGATGAAATGTATAAAGTTTTAGCGAAAATCGGCTGATTCATTCAGGCCTACCGTATGGAAAAATAAAGTTTCCAAAAATTACCGGGTAAAGTTTTTTAAATAAACGCGCGGTCGGTACGTCGCGTCGGCAAAGCTTTCGTACCGACCGCGTAGTATTAAAACTTCCGTAACTCCGGTAATATTGTTCGAAGTAATTTTTTTTTATTTTTTAAAAATACGAGGCCTATGTTACAGCTTAAGCTTTTACTTCACTTCCATATTTCTGAGCTGCATATCTTTTGTAGGGTAAATCTTCTGCAATTTTTTTTCCCTATGGATGTAGGGGAGATCCTTCTACTTTGAGACTGCTTGTACTTTGAAACGTTCGGACTTTTACAGCATACTAGCGGTCACTAGCGGTTCAGGTGCATTAACTAGTTATATAACGTTCCTATGCGCTCACAGAGGGCAGAACACGTAATATGAAGCAGATCGGTCTAAAAACTCGACAAGTCGACAGTTAAATTTGTTTGTTTGTGGCGTGCCCATTGTTGTATTTTCGTATCCTCTGCCATCGAATAAAATAATTGTAAGTATATTAATATTCTTATATTTTGTATATGTTTACACAAATATAGAAGTCTTAAGCAATATATTTTCTTAGATTTTGCAGAGAATTGTATTTATTTTGAGTAATAAAAAGCGAATATTTTAAACATGTGATTATCGTGTACTTTGAAACGTCTTCTGACTTGTACTTTGGACCATGTTCCAAAGTACATGGACGTGGTCCAAAGTACAAGTTGTATGGACTTTAGACGGTTATAAAAATTAAACGCTTATTTTTTGGCTTACAGATGCCGAAAAGCAAAACAGACGTTAAAAGAATAAAACCTGTAGCCGAAAACGTCGAAAATGCTGCTAATACTGTATTGCAAAAACAGCTCAGTCTAAGACAAGCCAGGGCAGACTTTAAAGTATCTAAAGCAACCTTATGAAGACGTCCCATAAAACACAGAGAATCTGGACAAGAACATTTTGTATATAATCCATCACAAGACGTTAAGTTCGTCTTTACGAAACAGCAAGAGAAAGAGCTACTAAAGTATGTTCCCATTTGTGCCAAGATGCATTACGGCCTCTCAACTATCGAATTAAAAAAATTAGCATATAATTACGCACGTGTAAATATTATTGATTGTCCCTCTTCCTGGGCTACAAACCAAAAAGCAGGAAAGGAGTGGTACAGGTAAAAAAGTTTTGCATTTTTTAGGTTATAAGGGTAAATATTTTTTTTACAGGTTCTATCTACGAAGACATCCGTCTGTATCATTACGTAAATCACAAGCAACAAGTCTAGCCAGATCGACAGCATTTACTAAAACAAATGTTAATTTATTTTTTATAAACTGGAGAAACTTATGGTAAGATACACATTTAGTCCGGATATAATTTATAATTTAGACGAAACCGGACTAACCACGGTGCATACCCCGGTTCGTGTTATTGCAACGAAAGGAGTTAAACAAGTCGGCAGCATCAGATCGGCTGAAAGAGGTGTAAATGATTCTAATTTGTTGTCTCAATGCTATTGGTAATTGTGTACCTCCTTTATTTGTATTTCCGCGTGTGTTTTTTTAAGAAACACATGCTGAAAGGGTCTCCAATAGGT